TGCCAAACCTGGGAAACGAGGCAAAGGTCTCAGGAGTGCAGGGTAAAGTAAATAGCATGACACAATACACATAATGAGTGCTAGCAAAACCAACAGAAACATGCACACAAAGAGAAGATGCAAATGCGTTCTTCTCCTTGATGGTATTAAACATTGTCAGCTAAGAAATATAGTCTGCGAGTGACTTAGATGATATTCATACATATAAACCACCGGATAAATGGCAATATGATGCCAATTAAACACAAACTAAAGTCATAATAATTTGGTATAAAATGCCGTGTCTTGGCTAAGAAGCAGTATGCAGAGAAATGTAGAGGCAGCAGTACCTTAAAATTAGACCTGAAGTAAAAAACAACCACCTGCAGCATATGAAAGAACAGGATAATAATATATATCTCAGCTGCATGTAATGAATATAACCTGAAAATCATCACAATTTCCTGTACCATATGTAGCCATGTCACACACAGCAACAAAGATGTTCTTTAAAAAGATATATCCTAGAGGACACTGGAGATTTTTTCTTAAAAATTGATGTGAAACATAAGTAGTGCTCCCTCCTCAGACACGAGCAAACTGTTGCACATCAGAATTGCTGAACAAGTAGAAGGTGCTGTGAACCACCATAAGATACCTCCATAGCGTTGGTCATGAGTATAAATGCAAGACGAGGGCCAAGCAGTATGAGGTGCAATAAATTCCCCCAGACTGGTCAGGTACAAAAGCTACTGTTTCAAATTAATTTTCCAGATCACCTTGCTCTGAATTACCCCCTAGCACACACATGAATTTTCCCACTATCAGCCCATATATCAGGTACTACACAGAAAGTGTGATCTGATCCATCACGTGCTCTGTACATACGTTCACTGCTACAACTACAGGACAAGCTGAATTTTAATTACACCGCTAATTAAGATGCAACCTAAAAATGCCATGCAGAGTGGTGTTTCAAACATCTGAAGGGTTTTCCTTTCATGCTCATTGAGTTATTATGACACGTCAAAGAAATAACTGTCGTCCTGACGATACGCCAAGAATTGTTGTCCTCTCTCTAGTTCACCAGGTGCTCACTGCTTCTTCCAGCATAGAAAGGCCGTGCTATGGGCCCTTGGGTACACTAGTGGCCATTTGAAGCATCAGACAGGTTATTTCTCTGGCCTTGTAACTGGCGTGCTTGGCAACCAAAAAGAGAATGCTTCATCCGTTTCACTGGTACCTTTGTAATCTACCTAGTCCCAAAGCTAGAATTCAGACCACATCCACTCCTTGCAGCTGAGGCTGTCTTTGAAAATGAACAATAAAAAAATCTCATCCTTTTTTCCCAACTGTTGTTATTTCTCTGGGATGCAGGCGTTTGCAATAGCATCCCCAGCCTTTGTCACATCCCCAGCACGCTACTTGAAGCCCAACCAGACTGGGTGAGGAAATCCACCGCAAAGAGCTGAGCAGAACCTGAGGATTTCGAGACCCGCCAGTGATTTCTGGTGCCTTGGCTAAATCAGCTCAAGAGAGGCCAATTTGCAGAGCATGCTGGGCATTTGCGTAGTGAAAAAATCAAGTCTCAAAAGGTTTCAAAGAGCTGCTTAATGATGGACTGCAACTTTGCCACATTAGTCACTATGAAAGAATCTTGGCCAGAGATGACAGCAAGATCCTTTATTCCCACAGTGGGAGGTGCGCCAAGGAGCAGGCCTTTTCTTTACTCCCATCAGGCCTCCTGAAGACGGACATTAATTGTCACGCGTGATAGGGATGGTTGCAGCAAGAGATGAGCATGGCTGTGCACCTAAACACTGTGCAGAGCAACAAGTCCTTCTTGGGGAGCTGCTCACAGGGAGCTCTTTGGCCAATAAGCAAGAGGGATTAGCACTATGCACACAAAACGACCCAGCGAATGAAAGTTATATACAAGGAATTAACAAAGCAATTTTTCAAGCAGCTTCCTCATTATGTAAGAAGGAGAACAATAATGGAAGTACACAAGGAGGATGAGGAGGGAAGGTTCTCTCTCCAAACAATAATGAACTGGAGAGCTGCCTTCGCCGTTTCTGCAGTTTTCAGCATAAAACCCCCCATCTAGTAACAGACGTGTTCCAAGCAAAGCACTGTTTCTTCTCCTTCCGAGGTATAATAACGGTCACAACATGAAATGGAAGAAGAAAGCTTCATGCCTTAGATGTCCTTTATCAGCACAACACATACATGCCAACAGGGTTATTGCCCTAATCACAAACATCAACAAATTAGCCCTGTTTAAAATTCAATGGCAACAAAGGCAGAAATCCAATACACGCATTCTCTAATTACAGTCCATGTAATGTATTCTGCGAGTCTCCTGTGAGCTTGTTTTGAGGATGCACATGCATCAGCTCTTGCCACTGAAAATCAGTTCAGTGTTCACTGCACAAATGTCTTCACTTCTGCCAAAATAATTTCCAGCATTTCCATTCTCCATGCCACAGAAAGGAAAGTGTCAGTGCCAACGAGAATGAATATAAGGTTTTGTCCTCTCTTACCCGTGCACATCCACACACTCAAACGAAAGGCACACAAACTGCGTGCCTGTTTACTCTAAAACCATTCCTTAGAAAATTGCAAGCTATTGCTTCCAGGTTCGACTCCGCAATGAAAAGAGAAAAACGGCTGCTAAGACAGTTTTGTGTGTTTGCTTCAAAAAGAAAGCAAAACATCTTACACTTCATGAAATGTGAAAAATCAACTGATGCGTCTCGTGCTGCCTACAAGCTGCAAAATACTAAGAAATAGCCTGTCTGGGGCTTGACTGAAAGATGGTCCTTCTTGGGGGGAGCAATGTCGTATGAAAGGCCACTGCCGTCGCATTTGGAAAGAAGCTTTCTTAAGAGCCTAATATAATGAATTGTGCCTGCAGTTCATGTGTCCTGAACTTCCCTCTCCTCGCTGTAGAAGACATTCCTGAGAGTGTCTGAAGCCAAACAGGATAATTTATTTCCAGGAAATGTGCCTCTTCCTTCTGTTTGCTTTCCTCAATAATTCATACTACTTGGCACAACACAATCATCTTCATACCACTTAATGGCAGTATCACAATTGGGTTGTTATGAGTCTCGTTAAAAATAAGATAGAAACTAGCTTCAGAAATTTAGAATTTCCTGAAAAGCAGAATATTTCAACTACCTCTAATTATACCTAGGGCTGGGGGAAGCATGTCCAAGTTGACCCCCAGGAACCATTACCAGTTCCATGTTCACAGTGGGTTTGCTGGGAGGCTGCAAGCGGAGACTGATTAGAGCACTTTGTCAAGAATAGGTAATGGTTCTGTTTTTATTTGGGTTAGACACAAAAGCAGATCGCTTCAGATCCAATTTACTCCTTGTTTCGGGTTTTCAAGGATAAACACAGAGGAATCTACAAGATGAATTTCAAAGCATCCAGTAAGTAAATGCCTGGAGAGTGAAATTCATGTTGCTTAACGCAACATGAACAGTAGTTAAGAGAAAAGCAGTGAACTTACTCTCACAAAAAATTAGAAGCTGCAGTTTCAAATCAAACAGTGATATTAATAAATCCAGACTGAATTGTTTTGCCTTTAAGAAAAAAAGACAGAAGGAATAAAAATATGATAAAATCTAAAGATTTAATGCACAAAGTGTTTTGAAATGTTTTCTTTTGCAGTTTGACAGAAGACAAACAATTTAGTTACCCAAAGGATTATCGTTTTACCCAAAATAAAGTAACACAAAACGTCTTTGGATAATCCTGAAAGATTTTTTTCCCAGCAAACTAACAACGTTAATCTTACACATAGTACCAATTCCGACAACAGGAGAAGAAATAAAGAGCAACTGAAACTTCAAAGAACACAGGATAAGATTTTTCAGAAGTGTTCAGTACTGGACTAATGAGAATTTTATCATTAACTTCCCTGGGAACAGGATTAGGTCTAATACAAACACTTTTGAATATCTCTAGCAGTGAGTAATGAAAGCAGGATGAATGCAAGATGATGTACTACCTGCAGGTAGAACTAGTGAATACCTAATAGGGTATTTTCTTATATTTCCCATATAGCCTCTGTCAATGTATAATGTAAATTAATAACTCTGCAGTCTCAAACCTTTTGGTTCATTTCCTGTCTTTTATCAGGAGCACAGAGAAGACTGCCAGGGTAGACTGCAGCATGTACATGACCTGCACATTTTAGCATAACATAGGTATTAAAAACCTGTCACTTCCCTACTATGCTTTTCAGCGATAGGTATGTTTAAGGAAGAGAAACTTTTGTACTATTTCAAAAATTATTAGCAACGCCTTTCCTAAAGAAGCTTCCACAACACAACTGAAGGAGGAATAGCTTGTAACTCCCTATGATCCACAAAAAAAACCCTTCCGTGTAAGTGCATATCTGATCCCCGACAAGTCTAGTACAACCTCACTTTCATTTCTGCAATATGATTAATGGTGGCTCTGAAATGCTGAATTGTGAAGCATGGCATACCGACTATATTATTTACTGTATTATTTACTATATTATGTCACTAAGTAACAATTTCCAGGTCATTTCAGATTTCCAACATTCCATTACTCCACTGATGGGAAATCTCCTCACCAAGATGTATCAAACATTTAGGTTTCAGAAGCATAGCAAAGGTACGAATACAATAATTAATTTCATTTTCAAATGGCTCTGCAGATGACAGTTCCCAGTCCTGCTTGAAGCAAGTGACAAAGAGCCTAATGACTATGGAAGAGGCAGAGACACTTAACAACTTCAGTGGGGTTTGGATCATTAACAGTAATTGAATGCAGGACTCCAGGCCAAGTTTTGCCCTCAAATCAGACCAATTAGAGACTGAGACATTCAACTAGAAGGACATTTTCATCTGTTAAGCTTGCCTGCATCATCAATCTAATGCATTTCAGAGAAAAACTTGCGCTTACTGACCATTTCATCTGAAGATTAGGAAGCAAAAGATTTTAAACAAAATGTTGTATTGCCTGTCTTTCAGTGTTACCTTGAATGCAGCTATGCAGTGTAGGCTGAGTAACGTCATTACCAGCACCAGGAACACTGTGGCCAAGTTCCTCGCATCCCAGATGGACTCGACCAAAGGGATGCTGCCGACCTGCCAGTCGTAGCACAGGGTGATCGGTGCCAGCAGAAGCCATGCATTGAAGGCCAGAAGGTAGGAATAAGTTAGAAACCTGCAAAAGAAAACAGATAACATAATACATGGAATGACTGCCAACACATGAAACATTTTCCTTTGGCAATTACCACTTACGATATGGGAGGAGGAAAAAAAAAAATCAGCTCTGCACAGACAGGCAATACCCTACCTCTCTGTCAGTAAAGATGCTAACATAGGTGAGGGGCACTTCAACAGGTCATTCAAAGAAATAACATAAGATCAATAATATTTATGTGGTTTCTATGCAGCAGCCTTTGGAAAACTAAGAAATCTTCATCTCCCATTCAAATGCTAGATTTTTGAAGTGACTTTCTACCAGCTTCAACAATAAATAAATGATAACTAAGCAGGTACATAAGTATATCGAACTATTTCACAGTTCACTGCATCACTCCTGCAGTACAAAATATCCCTCTAGCTGGGTTTAACTTACAATTTAGGATTTCTCCTGTGTGCACAATATTGAACAATTAAAGTCAGATGCCAGTCTTTTCTCTTTGCATCCCACCATAGAGAGAAAATACAGAAGAAAGGAGGCACAGGGTGATTCTTGGCTGATCCCATCACAGCTTATTAGGGCTGGGGACAGCTTCCATGAGATGTGCCACTGAAGTGATGGAGAAGTAGAGAGCCTTTCAAATTGTTGTAATCTTCATTAATTGGTATTCTTAATAGAGAGGAAATTAATGGGGAATAGAATGGGGAACATGCTGCCCTCTCAGAAGTAAGCAGGGCTTTCAGAAGATTGAACAAGAACAGCATCTGTGCAACTGGGCTAAAGAAAACAAGAAAAAAATAAAAAGAAAACAAGAAAAAGATGAAATCAAACCAACATCCCCTCTCCCCTCCAGCCTTTTGCTGCTTGGCACCTACTTGCCCAAAAGTGCATCACCTTCAAACCATATTTACAAAAGTTCAAATACTTTTGTATGCGAGAGGTTGGAGATTATACCAGCAATCACGGAGTCAACCAAGCAGAATTGCGACAGCCTTAGAACAGACAAACCCTTCCTTGGTTCACAAATGGAAAAATCCAGATTGTACACAGCACCAAAGATGGCAAATACTCAAAAAGAAACGAAATTATATTCTATCCTGCATAGGATTTCTTCCATCTGAGCCTGCTTTGGCTGTTGTTATCACACCCAGTTGCCATGGTACCTTAGCAGATTTATTAAAATGATAACAAAGGACCCCCAAGAGATGTAGAGCCATGTAGACAGAGGATTGTTTCACTCGCCACCTAGAAACATGCCCCTTTGGGGTCAACATGCATCCCCTTACAACAGCACTTACAACATTATATTATATTTATGGCAGAGGGGGTAAGTCACTAAGCTAAAGCTAAATGTGACTCCAGACAGGCAGGATAGAAGTTCCCAGATGGGTGTTGGGCCAAGGCACGGGGATGAAACAGGCCTAAATTTTTGTGAAAACATTTTTAAATAACCACAAACAGTTAGGATATCAGTTTCTCTTCTCATCCAAAAAACCAAACATCTCCAGCAGCACAGTGACCCAAAAGCAGGGAGGCTTACATAGCTGGAATAATGTTTCATTGAAAACAGTGGAAAAGGCACATTCTCATTTCCCCGCAAATCTTTCTAAGCTCCCAATTCTGATGGAAAATGGACTATTCCCACATTTTTAAGGTTTTCAGCCATTTGGTACATTTCTCTTCCATCCCTCCATTTTCCTCCCCTTGCCCCCCCTGAGGTAGCAAAGGGAAAAAAGAGAGAAAACTGATTTTCTTTCTTAACAGAGGCAGCAATTAAAAAGACAGCTTCTATTGAAGAAAGCATCCCTCAAAAACATAATCTAAATTCTACTCAAACTCTTCTTACAATTTTGATTGTTCACTATTTCCAAAGAAACAAATATGTCTTTTCTAGTCGCCAAGCCAATCTTTCCGCATTACAGAGAAACCCAGCAACACAAAATCTGGTGGAGCTTAATCACGCCAAGGCGCTCACTCGTGATGTTACGTGTGGCCTGGCCCCACCTCTGCTCAACTGCAATACAAAACAGACTTCTGTATCAGTCTGAATACGTCAGTTCAGAAAGGGTTGCCAGCATTTCTTCACAGCTACTTACTTAAAAGCCAAACTGAGATCCATTTCAAGCTTTATTTTTAAAGTAAAAAGCATGTCCATTTGTATCAATCTAAATAACGTCATGGCATACGATATTTTTACAAGTGTGTATATTAGACAGGATTTTCAGAAGCGTTGAGTCAGTTTTGCACTTGATGTCTTCGGAGAGCCCAGTTTTTGGAGGAAGTGTCCTTTTATGCCCTTGCATATTAACATTTTCAATAAGCATCACAATATTCATGGAAGTTTGTATGCAAATCACAACATATACCAGAAACCCTCCCCTACTTACTCAGGCTAGGCTGCTAGGCAGGAAGGAACGAGACGACATTTGGGATCTTTGCAAACTGCAGCATTGCAGTTATCTTCACTGATAAGGCAGTAGCTGACAAATCATTAAGTAGCACAGAATAAATAAATACAGTTTGCTGCCACAACAAACTGTGTTTATTTATGGCATACAGAGTCAGTTTAATAAATTTTAAGAGGAATCCAGGATAGTCAGATTAGTGTGCGTTAAAGCATTTCTGATGGAAGGTTAGGACAAACTGCTGTTGAAGATGAGAAGACAGGCTCCAGGACACGCACTGATGAAGAGAGGTTTTTCCCTGTGCTTGTGGGGTTTCCGTCTTCCTCAGGAGCCACGTGCACAACTCTCTGTCAGAGGCAGGTCCCAGAGGAGATGGACAATCGCTCCGTTCCATTACGGTAATAATTAGTATCTTAAACATGCTCTGCCAACAACGGTGAACTATTTTAAAGCCTGTGACAGTCATTACCATCCATGTACCGTCAACTGGTTTGCCTCCCCAGACATCCTACTGGAGAACCCTTGGCTATGTCTCTCACTGTCAAGCCTGAATGCCCGCGCTGAACGTGCGTGTGCCAACGGCAGACATGGAAGCAGGATCCAGGAGGGCGCTGCCAACAGCAGACATGGAAGCAGGATCCAGGAGGGCGCTGCCCGATTTTAGCAGGCGTTTGTAAGCTGCAAGAAAGCCTTGAGCGAGTTCTGATCCAAGTAAAAGTTTGGATATGCTTTCAGCATCGGTAACCTGTCCTTGAACGCGATGGATGGCTGTATAAAATAAAGCACTACAAACTATCGCTATTCTAGGTACTAGAAGCCGAAAAATAACAGGATGCTAATAATAGTTACTGACAATTCAGTGCTGCTTTTTACTTACGGCTCTCGAAAGCACGTGATATTCCCTTACATCCACGTGGTTCTCGTATCACAAGGCTAACCAGGGAGAAAGCTAAATGCAGGAGAAACTTTGGAAGAACCCTCTCACCAAAGCTGACACCTCAAGGAAATAAGTTGCAAATTTTGAAAAGACTTGAAGATTCATGGAATCATTCCAGGAGCTAATTACATTTCAGCAGCCTACCTGCAAATGGCAACAAAACTATTTTCTTTTAATTAGTTGACTAAGTGAATTACATTTTAAATTAATGATCTTCTCTATATTGCTGTTCATGTCTGCTGGAATTCCAAGGGAGAAAAATCCCTGCCTGTAACATCTCCCTCCCGATCAGTTAATCCTAGGCAAGACAGAGTACTACTGGTGAGGTGATTGGAAGAATCTGCCTCATAACTGACAATCAGTTTTCCCCCAGGCTGGTTAACAGCATTTGCGTTACAGCAGAGTCATTTTTTTTTAATCTGCAAATTGAACATGGAAATCCAAGTTTCAGCGGGTATCAAGTGTTTCTTTTCACTTCTCAGCATCTCCGGCATGTTCAGAATAACACAGCTCCTCCTGCAGGTAGCAGGTGTTGTCATGGCAAACCAGTTTGTTTAGTTTTAAATTTTTTAGTTTAAATGTACTGTTGTGTGCTTTGTTTGAGATAAATACAGGATGACTCATCTAGAACCTGTTGCAGAAAACAACTATATGAACTGATTGTTCCTGCTGCCAAAATGAAAGTAAAGGGTGCTACTTAAACCCATAAACAATATGACAGAAAAATACTTGAGGGATTGTCTGTTACGCTTTGCTGTAATAGAGACTAACGAGCTTGGAAAAGCCCTAGTCTCAGCTCTGCCAAACCCAGGCAATCAGAGTATCTGAGGATTGTGAGACTACCTAAAAAAATACAAGATTTATAGAAATTTATGAAGAGTTTCATTTGCTTTCTGATTTTGGAGCATTTTACGCTTTTTTCCCCAGCTCTCAGGGACTGAGATTATAGATTTCTTTCTAAAACTGTGCTACACGAGTGATCACAAGACTCAGACCATGCCCCACCAAAGCTGCATGGAAAAGCGGGGGCCAGTGGCCCTGTTCTTTCTAGGTGTATACAGCGGTGCAACCTACCACCCACCCAGTTCTGGGACAATGCATCCCACTACTGACAAACAACCTCACCACAAGACTCAGACCATGCCCCACCAAAGCTGCATGGAAAAGCGGGGGCCAGTGGCCCTGTTCTTTCTAGGTGTATACAGCGGTGCAACCTACCACCCACCCAGTTCTGGGACAATGACATTACTGACAACCAACCTCACCCCCAAAGACCCAGCAGGGTATCCACCTGCAAGTGGAAGATTTTCCTGCACTGGGGATTTTAGCATGGCAAAGGCAAAATATTCTCCTGGTTGGGAAAAAAAATGGACCTATCTAGAAGACAGCAGGTAACAGTGAACTTAACTGGTATTTGGGAAAAAAAGGGAGTGTACAAAAAAGGGAGGGATCTGAAACAGAAGCAGGAAGACAGTCGTTGCCCTTTCAGAAGTCACAGACCTTTTTAATGCTCTTCTGAGAAGACGACCTCCGCACTGCCAGGGACTCAGAAAGGTTTCGGTTCACTGTAAGGGTGAGAAGAGCTCTTTCATTAAGGAAAAGAGCTTCTCACTTGCATTAACAGCTGAACTGATTTCAGCTCAAGGCTCTCTTCATCTTCTACAAAGCCCTAA